AACAAACGATCTGGTGTAGAGAAGTTACCCAGAAGCAAGCCTGAAGTTGTCTACATAGAGAGGCTGAGTTTTACATGGGTCTTGATGTCCCCTCTTGGAATGTTGTTCGTGGCAAACAACCTCAGGGAAGGGGGTAGTGTTGTAAATCATGCCCTGAAGAAAATTACGCCGACCGCCACTGGTAGCCATAAACCAATGGTGACGTAGCTGGGAGCGCGCGAATGTACGATGTTCGCTGCCGCTCTAGATGTAGCGAGAATAATGCTACCAATTTCGACGAAATTTCGGCGATATTTTCCAGCGTATTCGATTACGATATATAAGGGATAGTCACGAGCATATCGACACAGTCAAGTGGAAGTTACAGTGCGGTACGCGAAGCGATCTAGTGAGGCGATAGGCATTCGAATAATTGTTGAAGTTTTAGTTGAAGTGTTTGTTGTATTTGAAGTGAAATAAAGTAAAGTTTTATAATTCAGTGTAGCCAATTATTGGTCAACCCACGGGGAATAATGTAACAATAGAATTAACAGAAATGAACATTTTCAAGGCCTTTCCAGAAAGTCTTTTTTTTTCTCTTTGTTTTTGTGTAACACCTTCGATATTATTACAGTGAAATATGATGATATTGATGAATAAACATGGATAAGTACTACAGTCTAATACTTTGAAATATATAACAACAAACTCAAAATGGATGACGACACGTGTGTTGTAGAAAACAATTTCCGTTGTCTATATTACACTGATACTGATACACTGATACTTGATACACTCTATGTGTAATGTCGTCCCAGTGAATTGTGGTGTCGCGCAAATATATGCTGATAACAAGTTTTTGTTCTTGAAATATTTGTGTATTTTAGGATTTTTAAAGGCCGCAGAAATGCCACCAAGGCCTAAACCCCAAGCAGCAGGACAAAATTCAACAGGACAGCAACCGATTATTAATGTAATCAAGGCTGGATATACGTCTGCTCCTTTGACAATTTTCAACTCTTCGCAGATCAGAACAAATGGTTCTCCACAAATAATCCCTATCTGAATATGAATGATAAGTTTCATTCATCAGCAATGTAGCGCAGTGACACAATCAGAGTAAATAATACATCTGATTTTGTATGAGCAGAATCAGCCGAAACAACATATTCAAGTCGATATTGATGAATTAGTAGAATCACTGTAAAATTTTACTGGAAAAATCAATCCTATTTCGTACCAACTTCGGAACATAAAACAAGTACTGAATTTTGATCCGTTGTAGACATTGTGCTATGCTGATGTTGATTCCAGGCTGCGGAACTGAATTGTTTTATGTGGCTTATCATACAGATAAACTGATGTCATTATTTCACAGAAAAATATGATACGCATAATTGGTAACTTGAATGCTCGTGATTCTTATAGAAATGCTTTCAAACGTTTCAATGTTATGACTATACCTTGTCTTTTGATTTTTCACTCTTCTTTATATGTTTCCAAAAATGAAAAAATAATATTCGTATTGAATGTAACAAAATATAATCTCAACACTCGAGGGAAAAAACAAATTTACCATTTGGTGAAGCAAAGTACCCTTCAACTTTCCAAATCAATTGGCCTCTTGCATATATTCGACTTGTTGCCTCTTATCATTGAAAGTTCTGGAAAATTATTTATTTTCAAGCACAACCTCAATAATTGTCATGCAGAAAACTGTTTTTAAGGTCTTGAGAAATGTATGTGTTCTAGTTTAACATCGTCTTGATATGTGTTTGTTTGTAGTTGACTATTCCTATGCAAAATATGTTTGTTAAGACGGACAATTAAATTCATTCATTCATTTATATACTCATTTATGCATTTGTGTGACATATTGCAGGTAATTTGATTGAGGCAAGCAGACCAGTTTAACATTTTCAGGCTAAGACATATATAAGATTTGCAAGGGAGCAAAATGAAAGCAATATTATTGAAGTAAATATGGGTCAGAAATTTAATAGTAATGAAGATGAGTCGAAAAGTGTAAATAAAAATCAACTCAAGAAAGTGGAATAGAGGCAAAGTTCTACGGAAGTGATAAAAATAATGCTCAATTTTTGTAATCGAATAGATCATAATTTCAAGAAATGTTAATACAAAAAGATTTTCCCTAAAAATTTTGGCAAAAGTCACTTCGTTGAGAAATAATCGAAGGACGATTCGCAACTCCTCTATAATACTTCTGCTCATACCATTGGTTTGTCAAATTTCAAAAATTTCTGAAGTTCCAGCGACTATGCTGTGATTCCATCATTCATTTTCAATAAGTGGTAGTACCTGAATCGAATATTTTCAAATCGGGAATAGCTGAAATGACCAGCAAGACCCCCTGATCTGATATCATATCATGAGCCTTTTTTTCGCGAAAATATATCAAGAGTACTGAATACATATCTGATATTCTCGACTCGATCTTTTTCATTAGATGGAGTATGCCTAAGATGTTGATTAACGATAGAAAAAATGTCTAATCAAGATTGGAATGTTCCACAAACATTTTCACATTTTCATTTGAAACCAATACTTTTCTGTTCTTCAGATTTTGAATGAATAAACGGTATTTCTTATCAGTTCCCAAGAGTGTTATTTTTCAATGTTTCTGCAATAAACCGGGATACACTTCGAATTCAACCTCTATAAAAAGTTCCTTTCGTGTCCATGTAGAATTTGGTTTGCTAGTCTCAAATATCACATTACTTCAATTCCTTTGATTTACTGGCAAAATGGCAAATCCATGGCAAAATTTTCTATCAATTGACTGACTGCACAGAAATGATCAAGAAAGTAACATATAGTGTCCCAATTCTACATCAGGAAATGTAAAAAACTCGGCACATGAAAGAATCTACGAAATATGAAAGGACCTTCTATTCTTCTGGAATACTGTATTACACAGGCCTGCAAAAATAAGTTTTTAAAAAATGGTTTTGATTTCGTTAACTGATCTTTATGTAGTTTTTCGCGCTGATTTCAAAAATGACATTTGCTTTTATCTATCATGTAAGGTTTGCCTACAAAATAAGGATGAAATAGTTGAAGAAGTAAAAAAAAACGAGAAATTGTGGATTTATTTTCATTATTTTAACATGAAGTGAAAGCAAAAGAAACAAGGCTACATAGCTAAACTAAGCATAATAGTGATACACAAGCGTTGGCAAAGTGATTATAAGTGTTCGTAAAAACGTTTTCTCCTTCCGTCAAAGCTTCTTTTGGTACTTTTTCGGCTGTGTTTTGTGAATTTTCCGTTTTTAACATCCAACAGTAGTCTGCCAGTATGTTAACATTCCGCCGACCTTGGTATCTGCGTTCCATTTCTTTTATGTTTCGATGGAACCGTTATCCTTGTTCCTCACTTAAGGCCACTAGATTTTCGGGAAAGTAGTCCAGATGTGAGTGAAGGAAATGGACTTTGACACTCATGTTGCAGCCCAATATTTTGTAGTTTTGTATCAATTCAGCGACCAAAGTTTGGTAGTTTGGGTCTGTTATAACAAGTTTAAATGAATTCCAGGCATTTTTTCCTTTCATTTCCATTTTAGTAACAAATCTTTCATCTTTTAAAAGTGTTAAGCCGTTGTTAAGCCCAACGGAGAGTCCTTCTTTTAGTTTAGCATCGGATAAACTTTTCAGAAAGATACTTGAAACAATATCCTTCTTTGTCTAATGCTTTCACAAACTGTTTTATTAGACCCAATTTGATATGGAGTGGTGGAAGTAAGGTTTTTTAGGATCCACTAAACTTTGTTTTTCAATATTTTCAACTCCAGGAATGAGTCTGTTTCTTATTGGCCAAACCTGCTTTATATAGTGTTGTTTCCTGACACGGCTATCCCATTCACATAGGAAACATGGAAACTTAGTGTAACAACTTTTTTGACCTAGTAACATCAAAATAACTCTCAAGTCTCCACGAATTGTCCACTTATGATCAGAGTAGCTGAGCTTATTAGGAACAAAATCAAGATTTTCGTAGCATTCTTTCAAATGGACTGAGTGTCCAACAGGCACAGAAGCATATTGGTTCCCATTCTGAAGAAGTACAGCTTTCAATCTTCTTTTTGATGAATCGATCGAAAGTCTCCATTTCTCTGGTATATACGTTATGTTGAACATTTCCATGACACCGGGTACATTGTTGCAGAAAACTAGGTCACCCTTTTGTGTAAAAAAAAGGGACAAATTCCCTTTCTCTAAATCAGTACCATGAAAATGAAACACCGAAGGCTAACATATGTCTTTCTTTGTCTTTCAATTCACCGCTTATATAGGCTATATAATACAGAAACATCGAACCCATACCGAACCTAAAAACCCATTCAATAAGAAAATTTCAGGTGAAATTTGTGACTTATCTATAGGTGATGGACTTTTTTACTATTTTTTCCGTAATCTGCACACAAAATACTGTTAAAATCACTAGTTAAATATCCTACAATTTTTTCATCGCAGACCTGTGTTATTTATCAATGCGAGGTCTCCAATTATATGAATTGCTCTACTATTGAACAATGCTCACATGAAAGCAATATTTCAAAATGGGTTGAATATGCTACTCGGGAGTGAAATAACAGAAAAAGGAATAAAAATGTGCTGTATTGCACATTTGCACATTGCTGTATTGCTGCTGTATTGCTGTATTGCTGCACATAGCTGTATTGCACATTGCACATTGGTATAATGGCGGTTTGTTACTCTGAACTTTGTTCAATGATGAAAATTATTGAATATATTCGTATGACAATTTGAATGTGCAGGTTAAATTTTGTAGAATTGACAGTAAATCAATAAATTGATGAATATAACCATCACTACGTGAATATAACCATCACACTGCAGTAACGTTAGTTACAAATTAAAGTGGAAAAAAAACATAGAAAGTTTAATTTTTCATGACAGTAAATTCATATGGATATTAGAAATCATGTACATTTTTGTGTTTTTGAGATTTCAACATATACTGAAACGTTTTTATCACATACCCATGTAAATTAATCCACTGTAGATTCCTAAGCTCTTTGAGTGCGGCGAATGGTATATTGTCTAATTGATTGAAGCTGAGATCCAAAGATGTTAAGCTTCTCCACATAGAACTGAAAACAAAATCATATTTATTTTCACAATATTTGTGAATTCTACTAAACTCAATCGAAAGGCACTTTGCTTAAACCATCATTTATCATTGATAGTTCGACAATTCAATAGAATTGAGTTGGTTTCATTTTCAACGATATTCACTCCAGCCTATGCATTCAAATCATCAGAAAATTATTATTTACTCGTATTCGGTATTCCTGATCTCATCAAATGTGAGACGATGCTACAATATTGCACAATTTGTTTTGAGTTTGAATAAATACGTCTTGCAACCAGTCAATATCAAAAATAAGCAAAATGATCACAATAAGAAATATCGGAATGTCATTCACTCGAATTACACCCCCTAATTGAGAAAACATTTTGTAATACAATTGAGTCTATCGGTAGACATTTCAGAAAATACTGAAATTCTGGTAATATGAACAATAGCATAATAATAATAATATGGGAATTCAAGCATCAGGAAAAATTTCAACAATTATTCGTCCCACAGTGTCAAACGTTGAGAAGATGGGAAATTTTCAGTTGATTGATCATATTTCAAATCCATCGTTTCAATGAAAATATATTCGTTCATTCTGTTCAAGTTCGGAAACAATGTGGTCGTATTAGCTGATATTTGGAAAGAGTAGAGTACAGAGTGACCAACAAGATATGTATGGAATTTAATAATTAATAAAATCGAATACCTTTGGTACTATTTATATTTCAGAAAAAAGCAAATAATAACAAACATTTTTTGATGAAAATGGCTTTATTGTTTTTTTAAATATTCCTCTTGATGATCAATACACTTTTACATTCGTTCAAACCATTTGTCAAAGCAGTTTTTCCATTTCTCTTGAGACACCTCCAAAACATTGTTTTTGAAAGCTTCATCTGCTTCTTCGGCGCTCGTTTGACCACGCAGTTTATCTGCGTGTCATTTGGTGCCAAATCAGGGCTGTATGGTTCGATGGTTTGACTGCTCAAAAATTCACCTGTTTGACGAGATGTTTGAAAGCTCGCATTGCCATGATGGAGAATGATTTCTCTTTAGCGGTTAGTTTTACGAATTTCTCCGAAGAATTCCGGCAAACAAATGATCGTGTACCACTCAGAATTGACCGTTCTACGTTGCTCAAGCGGAACAATGGCCACGTTACCCACGAAGAAACAGACTACCATTTGCTTCGCTGTGCTTCTTCCAACGAACAACTTTTGATGGATCAAGCTCATCTTGGAATTCCCACATGGTCGATTGCTGTTTTGTTTCCGGTTCACACATGATTCGTCGCTTCTCACGATTTTATACACGTCTCTCAATGCAACACCGTCGAACTTTTGAATCATTTCCTTATACCACTTGTCGCGGGCCGTTTTTGAGCGAATGATAAATTATAGGGTATCCAACGAGAACATTTTTTTCATAACTTGGTGTTCATGCAAAATCGAATATATCAAAGTGGAACTAATGTGTAGGATGCCTCTATCTCATGATATTTCACATGATAATCTTGCATTATCAGTTCACGAACTGTATCCATGTTTTGTAGCACAACAACCGATTTTGGACGACCTTCACCAAATTCGTCGGCGACCAAACTAAGACCACGATATAATTTACTATCCGGCGATATACTGTTGTTTTTGATGGTGCTTTATTGCCAAACAAAGAACTGAATTCATCGACATATTCTTGTTGTGATAATCCACGTCTAAAGTTGTAAAAAGTTGTAATCCAATGAGAACCTTATTTTGAAATTTCCATTTGTTGGTCAAATTGATTTTCTCAACTCTCTGTAAACAAAACAAATAAAACGTGTACATCAAAAGGTTGTGAGTACTTTCATGCTGAAAAAATATTAAACTTTTTCATGGTGTTGCCAATTCTCGAAATATCAATTGTCCCTCATCGTATTCATCAAATTCTGCCATGTACAGAACATTATCTGAAGTATTTCAAGCTGGCTTGGATGAAAAGAAAAAATATGAAGCTTTTACCTTCACAACTTTCATAACGTCAAAGAGTTTTCAGACTGATATTATTCAGTTCAAAGTTTGTGGGTTATGTCATGTTAGTCAAAATCGATACCGTTATCATGACTTTGATTCCAGATCTCATCATGTGAAAAATAATCATCTAACTGAATTAATAGAGCAGTTTGGTGATTGTTCACTCCTCATTCAGTATTTGTTCTCTGGTGTTTTTATCTTACTTTATTAATAACTGTGGCTCAAGTTATAAACTCATTCAGCAATAGAATCTTGCCTTTTATCGTGCATTATTATTACCACTCAGACAATTTGGTTACACAGAAGACTAGAGACTCGCTATTTTAGCGCCATCTAATGCGTTTTCTCTCGAAAGAAAACTTTACATAGGCATCTGTGAGAAAAAAACAGCTACCAGTATTTCGTCAACTTACAAAACAATCCATCATACAGTTCATCCACTCCCTAAAAAGTGAGATAGTGGTGGAAACCACCAAAGCCGAAAGTGAGTTCAGTTTTTTCTTTTCGAATGACGGAAAGCTCACTTT